AATGAGTGATTTGTTGGAGGCTGAATAGGTCACTGTTAAATCTGAAAGGTTGCCACTTCTCAGCACCTCACTTCAGATTCATTTCCATTTTGATTTTTGCTAATTTTTCCAGAGGTTGCTTCCTTACAGGATTTGAAACCCAGCTCTGCCAAAGGGATTTCACAGATGTAATTCATGTATTGGAGTGAAGGGCTCAGAACTGACACCTCCTGATGCTTCCCCACCACAGGAGAGGCTGCAGGCACCCAGTCCAGCAGTGTCAGCCCTTTTAATCATTCCAAAGCAAAGCATTAATGACTAAAACCATTTTTATTGTACTGTACAGTGAAGACATGCAAGCTGAACATCACACAGGATGAATACATCACAACTTTATAAAAGCTTTTTAAGCTCCTTAACATGCTCAGTGGATGATTATAAAGTACTTATTGCCTCCCTTCCTCCCCCTTTTCCTTAAGGTATAGCAGAGGTATTTCCTTTACAAAAGGCACCAATTATCCCTCACATGAGAGCAGCACAAAGTGACATGAAGGGAATTGTCCCTAGAGCTCTCTGTGATCATCACAACTTTCTGTAAGAAGGATACTAAAAATAGCAGAGGAGCTTCAGAGGAATCAGCATTTCTTAACAACATCTTTCACTCAAAAGGGAAAGGCTGAATCCTCTCTTTATGATACAAAATACATTCTCCAAAGGGCTCCTTCTTGAGGAAGGTCAATACATTATCTGGAGACAATGGAGCACTTGAACCTGTGACCCAGGCAGTCAGCAGAAAGATTTCAACTGACAGCCACAGGCTCAGCAGCCTGTGATGGAAACCAAAGGTCATTTGCTCTCTAAATCACCACAGAACTTGGTCCTGTCTTTGGCCAGGAGCCACCAATAAAAGCAACAAATTTGCTGCAAGATATACCCGGAGTCCTTCACTATGAAGGGAAACCACCCAGCGACCCTCATTTCTGGTGACAGAAAAACAATAACCGCCCCCTCCTCCCACCTTTGGAAAGCAAAGTTTCCTACTTCAAAGAGGAACTAACAAACCACAGGTCCCTCTAGTTTTTGGAGCAAAACGTGGGGATAAAGTTCAGCAGGTCTACCAGGGTCTCCAGATGGTGGGAGCAGCAGCCACGCTCTTCTGGGCAGGCTGTTTTCTGGGAAAAACACAGGGAGACAGGGGGGAGCCACGCAGAGCTGCAGAGTACGAGGCATCTGCACCCAGCTGAGCCTTGCAGAAGTGCTTGATCAGCTGGACCTGGGTCTCCTTCTTGGGCTCGTAGTAGGACAGAAAGTGCATCGCTTCCTTGAGGCACCGCAGGTACCCGCTGTTAAAGTCCTGCTCTGGGTTCTTGTGGATGAATGCTGAAAGAGAAAGAAAAAGCAAATGCAGAGGGTTAAAATCACGACCAAAACATGGGGCAGTGATGATTTGTGAGGTGACTTTCATGTGCCTGGGGATGGGGTGCTCCAGCCCCTGCTCTCCTCGGGGTGTCTGGGAGGGCACAGCCCTGGGAGCAGGTCCAGGTGTGCAATACCTGCTCTGCACTCACTTTTTTGGTCCTGCAGCTGGCTCTGCTGCTTCAGGTAGCTGACAGTCATCTCCAGGATGTCGGCTTTCTCCAGCTTGGAGTTGGGCTGGTGCCTCTGGAACTCCTTCTCCAGGAGCAGCTTCAGCTGCTCGATGCTGCTGTTAATCCGGTCCCGGCGCATTTTCTCCACCACCGGCTTCCTCAGCTGTGAGAGAGGGAGCAGATCGTCAGGGATTTGGTGAGACCTGACCCAATTTCCCCTCTGAAGCCCTGATACACCCATCTTCAAAGACACTTTTTTTTTTTGGCAGGAGAGCTGTGTGATGCTGCCTACCCATTCCCCACTCATTTTAATTTTTAAAAATCTATACAATCCCTCTTATCTCTCTTTAACATATTTGCTTTCCCCCAGACCACTTTCCCCCTCTTCTCCCACGTAATATTTATTTGCTAGGGGCAGGCCAGCCTTTCAGTCCCCTCTGGGGCTCTACTTACTTTATTCTTTTCCTTTGGCAGCAGCTTCTCCTCCATGTGGATCATGAGAGCATTGCTGGGAGCCATCCTAAGCACTGAGCCCTGGGCACAGACCCCAGGCAGCTGCTGTGCCGAGTGTGAGGAGATGCTTTGGCAGCTCCCAAGTGCCTCTATTTATACCCGGGGAGCCGGGGCAGATACGTGAGTGTTGGGATGGCTGGTGTTTCCCACAGCCCCGCAGCCAATCCAGGCCCGCAGAGGGACAATAGAGGAAGCATCCATTAGTGCATGGTACATTGATTGCCAATGCCCCGGGGAGAATAACCTTCTGCCCACGCTGCTGGTGGAGTGTGCGGGGCGTGGGGAGCTGGGAAAGCACCGAGCCTCCAGCTGGTTGGGCTGGGATCAATGGCATTCCTGAGCCTCGCATGTGCCGGGCATGGAGGAGGCACACTTTTGGGGGAAGGTGGGAAAGGGAGGGCAGCCCTGCTAGAGTTGAAATCAACAGTCCCAGGGACATCTCTGCACTCCCCAGAGCCTGGGGGAGCTCTGTGTGTGTGTGTCCATCCAGTTGTTGCACTTCAATGGGTGACCCAAAGGGTGACCACAGGTTTCTTCACAGGATGTTTCTAAATGGTTGTTGGATCAACAGCGAGAATAACTAGAGAATTGTAACTCCACTTTTTATCTTCTGGCCTCTGTTCCCACAGGGGAATCATAACTCTGCATGTGAACAAGTGGAGTGGGAGTCGAGGGAAATCTGCCTCTTCCAGGGGAAAAGGTTATGTTGTTGTTAGAACTGTCGTATGAAATATTCCATTAAATGCCATTAGCATGGCATTATGGTGTCTCAGATGAAGATCCCTTCTCCCAGCCCTAACCCTCCCCTTAACCCTGCCCCTAAATCTGCCCCTAATCTGCCCCTAAATCTGCCCCTAACCCTGCCCCTGCTTCCTTTGGTGTCTCAGATGAAGATCCCTTCTCCCAGCCCTGACTCTGCCCCTAACCCTGCCTCTGCTTCCTTTGGTGTCTCAGATGAAGACCCCTTCTCCCAGCCCTAACCCTGCCCCTGCCCTTAACCCCAGCCCTAACCCTAATCCTGCCTATCATGCTCTCCTCAGGGTCTTTCAGTGACATGACATTCCACACAGAAAATAGTATAAAAATGGTCTGGCTGGAAGGCAATATATAAAGAAATAACCATATAAAAACTTGTTATTCAGGACAGGCTTCTGTTCCCACAGGGAACTCTGCGTGTGAACCAGTGGAGTGGGAGTCGAGGGAAATCTGCCTCTTCCAGGGGAAAAGGTTATGTTGTTATTAGAACTGTTGTATGAAATATTCCATTAAATGTCATTAACATGGCATTACCTTGCCTCCTTGAGACACCAGAACCCACTCAAAAAGGGGTCTTAATACTGTAAAGTACATTCTTCACAGATTTAACCTTTTTTAATTAGTTTTTCTTCAGATCCAGGATGTTTAATATACTGCCATTCCCCGGTGCATGAGTGAAGGAAAGTGGACTTTGATCATTAAGAAACATGTGAGACAAGTTGATCTGCATTTTTAGGGTTGTTAGAGGCAAAAGCAATTTCTATAGCTGCTTGTGTGGTGACCCCCAAGTAGTCATGCCCCAGTGACATAGTCCTTCTACAGCGAGTATCACAAATAATTAAAAATTAAGGAGAATTTATCATTTTTCTGCTCAGCTGAAATTCCCACAAGTCACCTCTCGGCATATTCAAGAGTGCACAAGAGGGATTTATTATTTCCTGGTATATTGACTCTGAAAGGTCTGGGGATTACAGCTGCTTTGCACATGAATAGCTGGAGTGTGTTGTACAAAAGGCATGGTCTGTGGGATAATGGGGTTGGATGTGGGAAAGCGCTGACCCTGGGGGAGAGCAGGCTGGTGCCTGATGGCAGGAATCAATTATGTCTCAAAGGAACACATTGCCCTGGGAGCAGGCTTGGCGGGAGCCACCATGTTCTGTGTTTACCACCCTCCTCCTTCCAAACCCGGAGAGAAAACAGCCACGGGAAGGAGCAGGAGGACAGGATGGATGCTGTCCTCCTGCTCCTTCCCGGGGCTCTCAGGGCTGAGTTAAGAGGGAGTTTGGAAATGCTGCTGCTCCCCATCTCTGGGATGGGGCTGAGGGATCTCCCACGTGCTGCCAGCTGGGTTTGAGGTTTCTCCCAACCATCCTGGATGGTGCTGAGTTCACTGGGGGCTCCCTGAAAGTCCTCTGGAACTGCCCATCAGTCACCTCCCCTGGCCTGGCCAAGGAAAGGAGCAGCCTGTCAGTGACAGTGCAATGGGGGCAGCAAACAGGAACTGCTGGGTTCATGCACTTCCATCACTGTTTGGTTTTGGGTGGGTTTTTTGGGAGGTGGTGGCACCCAGCTTTTCCACACCTCTGTGGGTCTGACAGTGCTGCCAGCCTTTCAAATATCAAAATTTGGGCTCTGAGGAACCAAGAAATTGGCTGAACATCACAGAGGTTTAACAAAAACAATTTGATGTTTCCCATAAAAATAAAAGCATTTTGATGGATTTTTTTTTTTTTCTGAGCATTAGGACTTTGGATTGATAGAATTAGTTTTCTCTCTTTATAGAATTATGAGGCTTGGCCATGAAGCCCTGCTGAAGGCCCTAAGTATTATGAGTCTCCTGATAAAAGTCACAAGACTCAGCAAACAGTGCTGCCAGGCTTTTGGCAGGGAGCAGGTATCCTGCAGAGAGGATATTTCAGCAGAGCAGGTTGGGAATAGGGAATGTGGCTCCTGAAGTCTGGCCCCAGCAGCCACTTACTGTCATTAATGGTGTGTCTGTGCCAGGCAGGAGGGCAGGATCCTGACAGGATCAGCAATTAATCCCATCTGCATGGGGCAGATATTTAATCACTCAGAGGCAGCAAGGGTAGTGGTGGGAGATAAGAGCCACAGGCTTCCTGGTGTCCCCTGAGCCTCCTTAGATTGTCCCTGCCTTGGGAACAAGTCTGTAACCTGAAGCTGACTCTCCCTTATGCCCCAGTGGATTGCTCCTTTTCCCTTGAGCTCAGCCTGAGTTCTGAGGTGAGTTTTGGGGTGAGTTTTGGGGTGTAAGCTCCCACTGGAACCCATTTTCTTGTGCTTGGCAGCCAGCAGTCACCAGCTGCAGAGCACAATGGACATGTTTTTTTCCCCCATGTCTGGGGAAAGTGTCTCAGGGCTCCTGTGAGGTCCTGCCCTGCCGGGCAGGTGGGGTTTGGAGACATCTTTGCCACGCTCAGCTGGCAGCAGAATGAAGAGAGGGTGTCTGACAAAAGCAAGAAGGGTTTTTCAGGAGGTGGATAACCTGGCCCTGAGCCAGGCAAAGGACTGGCAGAGGGGCACACACAAGAGCTGCCAGGTCATGGGCAGGGCTGGGTGCCCTCATCTCCATCCACAGGGCAAGACACGTTGTCAGATTTCCTCGTATTCCCTCAGGAGTCCAGGTCATCCAGGGCACACTGCAGCCCCTCCCTGAGGAGCTCCAATCCCAGGATAACCATACCTGCTGGGAAGCAGCTGAGCAGAATTCCATGGTGCTGACAGACAGACTTGCCCAGGGACTAAGCACAGCTGAAGGTCTGCAGGGGTATGAATAAGCAAATGAAAACTTAGTTTACTTTCTGGAGAGATGGAGTTATTTTCTGTTGAACACAACAATAAGTATTTCCTGATTGGGGATTTGAGTTTATCTTCCTTTCCAGCTGTTTCATGGGCTTAGAAAAATTATACTAAATGACATTTTAAAGCTCCACTGCTGCACTTGAGGGCAAAGGAGAACTTTGGTATCTGCTTATCTGGGTGGTGCATGGCTGTGAGTGTGGTCCAGCCTGGAAATCCAAGTCCTCCCACAAGCAAGGGAGCTGGCCCCATTCAGAGATGCCAAAGCAAATTAAAACAAAAGTGGGTGCTGAGCATTTTTGCAAACCAGATGTCTCAAACAACCTCTTGGCCGTAGAAGCCTGCGACCTGTAGGCTGTTTGAAATCTTGAAATCTTGGTTTTCTCCTCTCGGCCTCGTTTTCCCGCCTTTGTAAACCACTGCTAATAATACATCCTCACCCACGGAGGAGGTCGCTGAGAATTCATTAGCTGGTATTTGTAAAGCACTTTGAAAATGCAAAGCCAGTGCATTATTCCTACTCTTCTGGATGCTTTCCATGTTATTAAAATCAGGATTTCAGAACGGCTTATCTGGGATCAAAACAGCATCCCAAACTTGAAAGGAAGCAAGACTGTTAAACCATCAACTGTCGCCTCCCCCTCCAGCCAGATGTTAAGCCCTAAAGAACTGAAGTGGCACAAGGAATTACTTTCCCAAGTTCCCCCAGCTGGGCTGACAGGCCTTGATCAATGGTTTTCTCCACGGTGAGGGCTATGCAGATGGTCTGCCCAGAGCAAGGTTTCTGTGCAGTACAAAGGGAAGTCAAACACCATTTCTAATTCAGCTTGTAGCATGGCACACTTCCTTTATCCTGAGCCTGAATGCCCTGAATGGGAGAGCGGTGTGGGAAACTGGAGGGAACTCCACACTCACCACGGCTGTGGGGCTCTGAGACACCCCTGTCCTCAAACCACATCTGCCTGTGACAGGCAGGGGGGGAAAGGAGTGACAGATTGAAAAACCAGATTATAAAACCTGCATGGAGGGAAAGTAAACCACGAGGAAAAAGGAAAAAAAAAAAAGGGAAGGAAGCTGTGAAGGCAGACAGAAATTGCACCAGCCAAGCAGCAGGATAGGGAAGGACAGGGAGGAAATATAGGGAAGGGTTGGGAGGAAATGTAAGGAAGGGTTAGGAGAAAAAAAAAAAAGGGAAGGAAGCTGTGAAGGCAGACAGAAATTGCACCAGCCAAGCAGCAGGATAGGGAAGGACAGGGAGGAAGTGTAGGGAAGGGTCAGGAGGAAATGTAGGGAAGGGTTAGGAGGAAAAGCAGGGAAGGGCTGGGAGGAAATGACATGGAAAGGAGCTGCAGAGCAGAGTCTTGCTCACCCACCATTCAGGCCACAGCCAATTGTCCCACTGGAGGTGGCAGAGGTGGGTCAGATTGCACTGAAAATTCTGAGCCACATCCCCTGTTTGCCTCTTTAAATCCCCAATCTGTTTATTATGTCCCAGAAAACGCAGCAACTCCTGTGGATCATGATGGTATTGTGAGACTTTTGTATGGCTCATGTGGAGCTATGAGAGCTGAGAAAACTCAGTCAAGTTTTATACCATCAATACCAGGTGGAGAAAAGAAATGGGAAACAACAGATCTGATTATTGTTTTGATATTTGGCAGGAGAAAATTCAAATTTTGATTAGGTTTTGATACATTCTGAGGTAGGCGTGGAGGTAATTTGTATTTAAAGTTTACAGAGATCAGGAAATAGCTCCAGAGGTACGACATCAGAAGAGCAAATCTTGGACTCCAAATTCTCTGTTGGCTTCAGTGTGGATCCCAGTAAGGCCTTTGGGATTGGACCCATTTTATTTTCCACCTCAGGATGCTCTGCAGGACTCAGCACTGGCTAAAAATCCCACATTTTGCTCTCTTTCCTGTCCCCAGTTCATCCCTGCCCCTGCTCCCCTTTCTGTGTTAGTAATGACTAACACAGGGCTGGGGAAGTTTGCCTGCTCCGGAGTGTCCCACACCATTCCTTAACCACATTCCCTCCTGCCACAAAGGAAGTGTGCCCGACTACAAACCACATTAGCAACGGTGCTTGGCTCTGCTTTGTGTTCAGTGGGAAACCCTGCTCCCAAAAGGCCATCTGGGCAGCCTGGGCTGGGAGGGAAGCAGTGGGAGCAGGGAGCATCTCTCCAGACCTGGGAAAGCAGCAGCATCCTCAAGGTTTTCTAAAGGGCTAACATCTGGCAGGGATTCTGGGGCAAGGCTGTTGTTGATGCCCTGTTTCAAACATCCAGATGCAGTATTTTGGGATCCTAATGAGTTTTCTGTCCAGCAGTGTGTGTGTTTGGAGTAGGAGAGGTGTAATTCCAAATTCATTCTTCTTAGTGTAAAGTCCACAGAGTCTGCAAACTTTATAATAGGGAGAGATTTTTGTTACCACTTTCTTTAGGATTTCCAGCCAAAGCAGAGTATCTGTTTTTGGTTATTGAGCATCTAATTTGAATAACTCTTCCAACTAGGTCAGTAATTGACTAATTTTTCCCCTCAGAGCTTGTGCAACCAAAGAGAAAAGAAAAAGCTGTCTTAAATACATGTTTGTATTTCCAATTCCTTAAAATTTGTGTGTGACACAGAGCAAGGATGTAGGAACCTCAGTGGGTTTCCCACCCAGGGGAGATTTTGCTATGTTTACCTCCCAATAATACATGGAATATTGTAATTCTTATCACATCCACAGAGGCTTCCAGCCTCTCCAGACAAAATGGAATGCCATAGAAGATTATTTTGCATTCAGACTCCTCAGGTGCAGTCTCTGGGTCAGTTTGGATGCTGGTGGAGAGGAAATTCTGAGCACTGACCCCTTGACTGTGCCAAGAGCAAGGAGGGTGAGGTTGACATGACTGTTCCCAATTAATGTAGTTTTTATCTGGGTGTTGAGTGGAGAATCATAGGAAAGCAGCAAGAGGGAAGCAGCAATTGTCTCTAGCAAAACTTCCCTGCCCATCACAGGACTGGCACTTTTTCTTCTTCCTGTGCTCAATTAATGAGCTGGAGAAACAAGTCCCAGCTCCGGAGTTTCTGTTTCAGGGAATGTCCCCGAGAGGGATGCACAGATTGGTTTCAGAGGTGGCATTACATGGGCTCAGAGATAATCCACAGGCTTTGAGGAGAACATGTGAAACGGTGTCACAAAAGCTTTCCCACAACCTGACATAAAAGAGCCTGAGCTCAACAGCTGCTGCTCTGTGCCGAGAGAAGGGAGCCCATTCAGGGCAGCACAATAGGGATGGAAAAGCAGAGCCTGGAAGAGGTCACTGGAGCCTTACCTGCTGCACCAATAATGAGTGAGGGAGAAACGTGTCCCTGTGCCCTGGGTGTGTGTGTGCACATTAAAGGCCCTGTGTGACCCCACACACACGTTAATGTAAAGGTGAACACACCTACACATGTGTTAATGTGAGTACAACTGGTATTTACTCACTACAGTAAGAGCTCCACAAACATAAGCGCTGACATTCCTTGGTGGATAAATTGCTGGCAGGTCTGGTTCTGGTTTTCCAGCAGGAATCCCTGGCTGTGTTTTTATCAGACTGTCAGCTCAGGCACCTCCTGAGCAGAGGCTGTGCATCAAGGACAGCAACTGGCACAGGGGAGAATAATGAGGAATCAGGAATTTGATTTCTGATACATTTATGAGGATATAAATCTCTTCTGCACCCAGTTTTCCTTTGTTTATAGACCAAGTGAAAATAGAGTGAAATGTGTTTTGGGGATGAAGTAAGAGGCAGCACGTGATACTGAACTGATTCTGAAACAATCCCAAGACCCTTCTCCACAAGTGTTTGTCTTGCAGGTGTCTGGAAACGGAAACATAAAGCACTAATGAGAGTTTTCTAAAGGGCTGCATAAGGTTCTGAGGGAAGGGAATGTTAGGAATATTAATCCACAAACATCAGAGGTTTATGTCCAAAAAGGAGACAGAGGAGTCCTTTTACTTTATTCCAATAAAGGGAGAGGCCATGGGGCATTCCCCTGGGGTCTCTCAAATTTTTGGAGGACCCAGCCTCCTTTTTATCCCAATTTCCCAGCCACATTTCCCTTCTCTCCTTCCCCATTGGCTGAAGTACTTGAGAGGTACAGACTCCCTGATAGGCCTGATACCAAAGATTTCCCTCTAATGCATAACACATATAATACATGCTAACATAGCACATATAATATTCATTTTAATATTTGCCAAAAGCCAATCATAAAACACGCATTTTAACATAACACATATAACACATTATATAATATTCATTTTAATATTTGCGAAAAGCCAATCACAAAATAGGCATTTTAACATAACACATATAACACATTCTAATATAACACATGTAATATTCATTTTAATATTCGCAAAAAGCCAATCATTAAATACGCATTTTAACATAACACATTATAACAATATAACAGATTCTAACATAACACATATTATATTCATTTTAATATTTGCCAAAAGCACATATAACACATTATATAATATTAATTTTAATATTTGGGAAAAGCCAGTCATAAAATACACATTTTAACATAACACATATAACACATTCTACATATAACATTAATTTTAATATTGGCCAAAACCCAATCATAAAATACTCATTTTAACATAACACATGTAACACATTCTAACATATAACATTAATTTTAATATTTGGTAAAAGCCAATCATAAACCACACATTTTAACATAACACATATAACACATTCTAACATAACACATATAACATTAATTTTAATATTTGCGAAAAGCCCATAATAAAATACGCATTTTAACATAACACATTTAACACATTTTAATATAACACATATAATATTCATTTTAATATTTGCCAAAAGCACATATAACACATTATATAATATTTATTTCAATGTTTGGGAAAAGCCAATCATAAACCACGCATTTTAACATAACACATATAACACATTCTAACATAACACATGTGACATTGATTTTAATATTTGCGAAAAGCCAATCATAAAATAGGCATTTTAACATAACACATATAACACATTCTAGCATATAACGTTAATTTTAATATTTGCGAAAAACCAATCATAAAATAGGCTTTTTAACATAACACATATAACACATTCTAGCATATAACGTTAATTTTAATATTTGCGAAAAACCAATCATAAAATAGGCTTTTTAACATAACACATATAACACATTCTAGCATATAACGTTAATTTTAATATTTGGGAAAAGCCAATAATTTTTCACAGCCAGGGGCTGCTGGCGTGTGCCCTGCTCCTGCTGCAGCGTGTGCCTGGGCGCGCTGCTGGAGCATCCTTCCCGCCATGGGCAGCTGACCTCCTCCTGCCTCCTCCTCCTCCTCCTCCTCCTTCCTCCCGCCTGTGAACCCCGGGTTCCCCCCGGAATGCTATTGATCCCGGGCATTAGTCAGCAGCCTTTCCCGTGGCAGGGCAGCTCTTTCCCAGCTCCTGACACGTAACTCTGATGCCAGCCTTGCAGGGAGCGCGCACTCCCCACCTGCTCCTCCGGGAGAAGGTCATTATCCGCCGGCTATTCAGTGCCACTGGAGCATGCAGGAATAGCTGCTTCTCCCATTGTGCTGCCCGTGGCCAGGATTGGCTGGAGAGTGTGGGAAACACCAGCGAGCCGCAGACCCACACGCTCTCGCCCAGCTCGGGTGGTATAAATATCGGCTGCAGGCAGCTTCCAGCAACACGCTTCTCCTGGATTCCACCCCCGCACCTCTCTGCTCAGGACGGATGGCTCCCAGCGCTGTTTTCTTGGAGCCCGACAACCTGCTGACAGCAAAGGAGAAAAACAAAGTAAGTGCAGGCACAGCGGAGTTTATACCAGCTGAGACCTTGCCTCGCTCCGCTGAGGAGCAGTGCTGGGTGACAAACAGCCCTGCGGAGTGTCAGGGAGAGCATCCTTTAATAACAGGTCTCTTCTCCTTTGCTTTTTACAGCTGAGGAAGCCGGTGGTGGAGAAAATGCGCCGGGACCGGATTAACAGCAGCATCGAGCAGCTGAAGCTGCTCCTGGAGAAGGAGTTCCAGAGGCACCAGCCCAACTCCAAGCTGGAGAAAGCCGACATCCTGGAGATGACTGTCAGCTACCTGAAGCAGCAGAGCCAGCTGCAGATGAAGAGTAAGTGTTGAGTTTTCTTTCAGTCTCTGTTTTACTGCAAATCTGTGACTGTTGTATGAATCTCGAGCCATGGACAGCTGTTCTAAACTATTCTTCCTTCCCTCTCCCTCTTTTCTTCCCTTCTCCAGCTGCAGGACCCTTCCACAAAAGCTCCCAGTTTGACTTCAGAGAGGGCTATTCCAGGTGTTTGCAAGAAGCTTTCTATTTCCTCTCTCTCCACAAAGTCCGAACTGAAACGCAGACCAAACTTTTAAGCCACTTCCAGAAGAGCCAGTCAGCTGCTCCAGAGGTCTCCTTCTCCCCTGGGAACGCTGGTGCCCTGAAACAAGTGTCTCCAAAGGCCAGCAGCCCTCTCTGGAGGCCCTGGTAGTCAGGGGAGTCCTCACTGCACGGACCTGTGACAGTCCAGAGGAAGGACCTGACTGCATCTGATAGTCCAGCTCTGATCCTCTCTCCCGTAGGGAATTTTATTTCCCCCCCACCGTGTTTTATTTATGTATGAGAGAATGCCATGCTTTTGACTTTTTTGGGATCCCCTGGCAAAAGCTGAGTGTTGAAGCTGTGTAGGCACTGGTGCAGTGCTGCCCAGGCAGGGGCAACACCTTCAGAATGAAGGAGGGTGTTTGTAAATGTTAAATGTTGTGATGGACAGGACTTGCTGTAGGAGATTTTCTCTAATATTCCCTGTAAGAGCCATCAGCTTTGCTCTGGCTGGACTGACAACTCTGGTTAGCTCAGTCACACCGTGAGGATAAATTTATTCCCTTTGGTTCATGCACACTTGGTTAAAGTATTTCCCTCTGTTTGCTTATCAGCTGTGCAGCATCGAGAATGGGTTTGGTTTTGGTTTGGATTTCTCCCCCATGGCCCTTTCATAGTCCTGTATATACAGTGTGAGGGATGACCAGGAGTTAGGAAACTATGTGGAATATTTCTACTATTTGATGCTTTTTTCAATTTAGAAAAAGAGTATGTTATTGCTTTATGTTAAAGAAAAGTAGTAGGTAACAGGCTTGATTTGTCAATGTTATACATTTTGGGTGTAAGCTATGCTTTTTTTAGCATTTTCATTATAATAATGATTTTTTATCTGTATTGAGTGGTTGAATTCCTGGTGGATGATGTTTCTCCCAATGCTGGGACTGCCCTATGGCTCACCTGCATACTGTGTATGCATCTCTGTGTGTGTAGAGAACAATAAAATGCATTTGTGTGCAACTTCTGTGTGGGTCTCTCCATCTGAAGGATGTGCAGCCACTTGCATCCCTGAGAAAGTTTTAATTCTGAAGAAATGGATTTTTCATAAAGCTCAAGGAACTCCCGTTCATGTTTACTCTGTATATTCCTGTGAATCCCACCACGTGAGTCACCCCAAATCTCAAGGAGTGCTCCTGTCACACAGATTCCTGCAGAATCCTGCTGAGCATTTCCTCAGTCACTGCCCCTCCTGTCCCAAAATCCCCCACCTGGGCAGCAATGCCCTGCACCTGCCCAGAACCTATTTCCACACCATTTGTTCACAAACTTAGCCCCCTAAGCCGAGTTTTAAGGGGTGGGTTTGGTCCCAAAATCCTCACCTGGGCAGCAATGCCCTGCACCTGCCCAGAACCTGACTATTTCCACAAACTGAGCTCCCTAAGCCGAGTTTTGAGGGGTGGGTTTTTGCCAGGTTTAGAGGGGCTTGTACTATAATTTTAGGGCTTGGTTTGCCAGGTTTTGAGGGGTGGGTTGTGTTAGGATGAGAGGGGTTTGTACCAGGATTTGAGGGCTTGGTTTTCTGGGCTTTGAGGGGTGGGTTTGTGCCATGTTTAGAGGGGCTTGTACTAGAACTTGAAGGCTTGGTTTGCCAGGTTTTGAGGGGTGGGTTTGTGTCACATTTAGTGGGGTTTGTACCAGGATTTAAGGGCTTGGTTTGCCAGGTTTTGAGGGGTGGGTTTGTGTCAGGTTTTGCTGGGTTTTTACCAGGACTTGAGAGCTTGGTTTGCCAGGTTTTGAGGGGTGGGTTTGTGCCAGGCTTTGAGGGGTTGGCTTGCCAGGATTTGAGGGCTTTGTCAGGTTTTGAGGGGTTTTCTCACATCACACCTGAGGAGCAGCACTCTTCCCCAGCTCCACCTCTGACAGCAATCATGGAAATCCTTGTCTCTGTGGTTCTGCTGGCTGGTGCAGCTGCCCTCACAAATATCTGGCAAATGAGGAAAATTTATGTGCCCCACAAGTATGAAGAACATCACTGTAAAGGGGTAGTTTTGTAATAACATCCTGAATAATGGTCTTAGCTCTTCAGCTGAAAATTCCCCTCACTGCTCGTTGGTGGGGCTGTTTCCTTTCCTTTGCAGCAGTGCAGGAGTCAGCATCTTTTTGGGTAATACATTAAAATCTGATTTGAGAGTGACCCAGCAGTGATTCTTGCTCTTAAGAGAGCAGTAGAAGCCTGGCTGTTAGAGTGGCGTAGTGGTTTTGGTTCGCCAAATTAAGATTTCCCCAATTTTGAGATTTCTCAACCAAAGAATAGGATTTGCTGATAAAAGCTGATAAAAGCTGACTGTTCAAACTCTGTATTTTCCTTTAACATGTCATAAAGCATGAACAGCACGGGCAGGTTTTGATGCTAACAAGGAGAAAGGGGATCAAAAACTGCTCCTGTGCAGGAACTTGGTGCCTACCCCAAAGAAACCAGGTCTGAATTTGGGCATTGTTTGAGCTGTGACACACAATGGGGATGGTTAAAAAACCCAGTCACAACTTCTTTTTTTTTTTTTTTTTTTTTTTCCCTCTAAATCATCATGAAGAGAAAGGCAGCTTGAAAATGAAAAGGAGGGTTTGCAAAGGAGTTAATGAAATAGCCCAGTGGCATCTTGTGGAGCATCAAAGTCGGCAATAGCTGAGTGATCAAGGCACTGGGGGTGTCACAGGGGCTGCAAACTCTTCCCTTTTACATCCCCTTCAGGAGCACTGGGCTGTGTGGAATGCCTGGACTTTTCTTCTTGCCCCATGGACAGTTGACATTTGGTATGCATTAATTATTCTGCTGTTGCTTGTTGGTGGAAAAAAAAACTGGCTTTTTTTTCCCTTAATTTTAAATATTCTGCATAATACACAATGCAGTTTCCAAATGCATTTTTGTACAGATTTTTCAGTTTTTAGGAGAAAAGGAGATATTGCTGGGAAAAGGAATTGTGCACAGCAAGAGCCATGGATCTTTTAGTAAAGAAAGTTAATATCCTCTGTGTCCACTGTGTCTAAAAATAAAGTTTTTCCTGAGGAAAACACATTCTCTTTGTGGAAGAACTTTCCTGATACCTGCAGAAGGGAAAACTCTGAGTTATGTGGCTTTTGGCTGTATCTTAAGGAAACGGATTATTCTGGAAGAGCATCCCTGTGAATGTTTTTAAGCAAGAATTTGCTGAGGATAGAAATGCTTTAGTTACCAAAATTGTCTATAAAATGAAATGTGAAAGAATCTGGAGAGGCACAGAGAAGGCCCTGAATGGGTGTGCTGGGACATCTGGGAGGTGACATCCACATGACCACAAGGAATGGAAAAAATGGGAAATGTTGGCTTTTTTATTAAGGAAAATATTATAGACAATTTCTTAATTTTATATATACTTTTTTTTTTTTTTTTTTTTTTTTTTTTTTTTTTTTTTTTTTTTTTTTTTTTTTACTGCGTTAGTTTTTTCAGCAGAATTAGTTCTGGGTGTTTTTGCAGAGCAAGGTGACATTTTAGAAACTGTGGTTTACAGGATGGGTTGTGCAAAACCACAGCTGCTGTAGGGGATCTGGGAGCTCTGCACAGCCAGGGAGAGAGGTGCAGCATCAACCAGGACCAGCAATCTGCCAACTAAAAATGATTTTTTTTTGGAGGATTTGATGTCTACACCAGCTGCAGTTCGATGGAGCCTGAAAGCTGCTCCTGTTGGATGTGAATTTTGATCTTTCAGGCGCTGGAGCAGGATTTGTCACCAGGTGGCAGCATGGGAGAGGGAAAGGCTTCGGATTCCTCCTGGGAAACATCAGGATCTTCTTTTCCTAAGCAGGTAATAAAGCTTGTCTAGGAGTCTAAAGCGCAGCAGAACACCCCTGGGTGCAGAACTTCCCGCAGGGCTGAAGCATTTTGTCCTTGTGGAAAGGTAGCACAGGGGTCAGCAGGAATTCAGGGCCCTTTCCTGGGTGTTTGGAGCCGGTCTCTCATCTCCAGTTTTGTGTGGGCACAGCACCAGGGCCAGGGGGGCTGTAAGGGGAGGCTGGAGCCCTTGGCACTGACACAAACTGGCAGCTGGGAAGTGTTCTGCAGGTGGGAGATGGGGTAAACTTACAGGAAAAAAAATAGAGGAACTTCCATGTGCTGTGGTGGTCACTTGGAATTAACCCTGCCAGGCACATTTTAGTTATCCCTTTGACAGCTGCATGTGCCAGAGCCTTTAGTGGCCCATCCCCAGGGCTCAGTGATTTTGCAGAGTCACACAGGCAGTTACTGCCTTGCTGTCAAGTGATTCCTGTGCTAGAAAGAAAAGCATTTGCTGGAATAATATTCAAAACTCACTATTAAATGTTGGAAGTTAAGATACTCTCATTATAGTAGGATGCTTACCAAGGAAAGCTCCCCATACTTCTCCATAGGGAAATCCTTCTGAATTCACCACCATGATTTTTTTCTTTTAAATTTTATTAAAAATTAATACATGTTACATTTTTCAAGTGTAAATACTGAAAAATAGCCTATGGCAAAATAAAAAGGCACAGGATTAAAACCAGTTTAATTGTTTCCATGGATACATGTCTGCTATTTGGCAAAAGGTGTTTTATACACTTTCTACAAGAATAAGCATCATTTTAAATATATCTCTGAAGGGTGGGACCCTGTAATTTAACCATAAAGACAAAATTTGTACTCCTAAAATGTGATAATTGTAGTGATGCCTCACTTGAAGGGGGTTCTTTGGAGCAGAGGAACTCAAGTGCAGGAGGAGAGTGCGACAGGCGTCTTGACATAGAGCTCACTGTCACGACAAATAGCAACCCATGAACAACAAAGCAGTGACCAAAGTGCAGGGGCACAGACAGCACGAGAGTTTACACCAGCTCTAACCTGATCTGGGGAAAAAATGCACCAGAAACGGAACCAGAGCAGTGGAAACGGAGCAGTGGAACGTCTCAGACAGCACTGCTGAGCCCCAGAAAGCGGAGCTGGCGTATTAAAATTATTATTCCTTTCTGAAAAATAGATTTGTGGCTGCTTGTTGGTTTTTTTTGTGTGTAAGAATTAGTCCTTGTAACCCTGAAGCAGTGTCTTAGTAACAGTCAGGATGTCGTTGGGAACAGTCGTTGGAGGCCGGGAACGCCGCGTGGCCTCCGGCACCGGCCGCGGGCTCCATCCCCGTGATCCCTGTGCGCTTCCCAGTGCCTCTGGGACAGCTGAGTGCTTCCCTGGCTCTCACTGCAGCAGCTGCCCCGGCAGCGCTGGCTGGGGCTGAGCACAACACCGGGCACATCCCTGCCACCAGCTGTTTGTGGTGTCACCAGTGTCCCATCCTTGGCTACCACACGCGGCACTTCCCTGCGGGATGCATGGCCGTGCCCTTCTTGCAGTGGAACACCTCGGAGAAGGCTTCAAAGTTCTGCAGTGAGCCCATCACCCTAAACAAAGAGAAAGGACTCATTTACGTGGAGATTGTTGTTGTGGGGAGCAGAAAGTGGTTTGGAGCCTCAGAACTTGATTGCAGTTCAGGATACGGGATGATTTAGGAAATGTAGGTGATATGAGCAATGAAATGCCAGAACAGAGGGGGTTTGGTCTGCTCCATCCCCTGTGGATTGGCAAATTCACCTGCAGGTCAGGCATAGGTAAGTGCTCTCCAGCAGTGTCCTACAAGCCATGGGAGAAAATCTGGAAATCACTTGGGAGTTATCTTGTGTGTTATCAGACTCTCCCATGCTGTCGGGGTGCAAGGGGTTGAATGAAGTGAGTTGTGAGTTAGTAAATGAGTAAAACCCACCTGTACTTCAGAGGGCTGTGGACATCTGTCTTTATGGACTGACTGGCATATTCTGGTCTGTAGGAACCACACCAAACCTGCACAGGGAGATTCATCATTGGTGGGTCAGTATTGGGAATTCATGTTGGGAATCCCTCAGTGGCTCTCCTAAGAACCATCCCAGTTTGCTATGATATCATTGGGGTATTTTTATAGAGAGGCAGAATAGATGCAATTATTTAT